CACTACAGGCTTTCTATTAGTGTTAAAAAGTGTTATGGCGTTTTAAACACCTCGCTCTAAATATTTTCTTGAAATACGTAGGTTTATGGAAATTATTATGTGGACGTTTGCAGACAGTCATGGTGAGACCAATCTTTAGTGCCAAGTGTTCCACTTATTCAGAGTTGGTTGAGTCTGTAAATATTGTAGGTTGCAAATTATATTTTTATGGTATGCGATGGGCACAATCATCCGTAATGACTAGCTCTACCTAGGGGAACTTTATACGTTTCCTACGGCAAGATGTTTTCGCAAAAATAAGTATTTAGTTTATTAAACTCTTGCACTAACCTTATCTCTAGAAACTTTTTATATTCTTTACGATGCTGAGATAGGATTCTGGAAGTAGTTTTTCTAGAACTACGCTAGACATTTCCAGTTCATCATTTTTCTCGCAAAGCATTCGAGAGAGCCAAACCCTGTAATATACGGATGGAACTCGCAGAATGATGCGACTGGCAGTTTGAAACATTCGGCACTGTAACAGTAATAATGACATGTCACTTGCCTATGTAATGCTCATTGTCGCAGATCAAACTGCTTTTTCCGTCTACACTAAATTTCAGTGGACTCATTCAGCGAACTCGCACCCGAGACTGCAGCGCTGGGTTCTGCGAAGTAATTTGCATGAATATAGATGCAACAGGTTTCTTTGAGTGTGCGGCTAACACGTATTCTTCATATTGAATCTGCTAACTGCATTCATGACCATGTCCATAATTGTATCCACATTCCAGCTTATTTTTATTTTGACATTTGAGTTTTCTTCAGTACTTTCTCAACATCTGTGCTTGTTGAGCCGTACTCAAGTCCATACATCTTGTCTTTCGCTATTACATTAATATATAAAACTGTTGATGCCGAGTGAGAATTCAAGGTACCAAATCTGTCTTGTGAGTTAAATAAGAACCAAAAAAAAGCTTTACAAAGAAAATTTTGATAAAGGATGCTGTATGGTCATTAGAATAGCACATGCCATGCTAAAAAAAAATACAAATTCTTGTTAGGTATGCAAGGATGACAGTGCTGTGCTGTTTCTGATGTGTCACAAAAAAATCAGTGCCATACAGTGTTCCTTATGGAAGTACAAACTGTTGAATTCGAAGCCCAGAAGTTTCATTCAAGAATGTTCCTGAATACAAATGTATTTAGAGATCTCAGCCACTGACTTATACATGACTATGTGGCGAACATTCATTTTCATGTGCATTATAGTTTACAAGGTCTAGTCTGCATTGATTTATTGCATTCATGCTGAAACTGGGAGGGGTTCTCTGGGTATGAATAAAGAGATATAAATTTCTTGAAATCAAAACATTTGAGAACGGACAAAAGGAAGGATCTGAGAACGGTATCTTAGGTTTTCTTTTCTTTTTCTTACAGTATGTTCACTTTATTTCACCTGATGCATTTAGTTTTTAGCGCAGCTCTTAGCACCCGTTTCCACGTTTCGCTGCGTCGCTGTCGGCCTAACCGCCCAACTGAACTTGGTAGGAAATTGAATTAATGTTGCGGTCATGTGACGTTAATATTTCCGCTAAGTCTAGCTGAGAAACTGAATTTTTTTATGGATGACGTGACACGGTCATGCGACGTCATTTTTGCCCGCTACTTTTAGCGGGAAAACTGCATTTGTGTTGAGGTCATGTGACGTCAATTTCCGCGCTAAATTTAGTGGGAAACGTAACCCGCTAAATTTAGTGGGGCAATTTTCCCGCTAAATTCAGGGAAATTTCCCACTAAATGGGAGGGAGCAGAAGAGGAGGAGGGGAGGGGGAGGAGCCTCCCATCCTCCTCTTCAAGATCTGTGCTCATATTTCATCTCACGTCTCATATTTCATCTCATGTTTATTCAACTTTTATATTGCAGGTGCACTTGCAGCACAAATCTGGGTCGTGCTGATCCTCTACGCACAAGTTAGGAACTCCTGAGTGGCAACAGTGGGAGTTCGGTCTGACAGCTCAAGGGACACCATTGTTCAGTATCGAAGTTTTAATTATCTTTTGAGCAAAGTTAAGCTTTGCTGCTTGCAGTTCTTCTAAAAATAAATACCTGCAACCAAATTTACCAGGTCACAACATTTTGCCTCTGCTCTTAGTGCTCCTGGTGAGCCTCGGATAAGAGCTTACTGGTGTGCAAACATCATGCTTGTTTGAAACCACTCACTGATGTAGACTAGCTGACATCCAGCATTCCAATGAAACGCTGGATGTCCACAAGTCTTTCTTGAACAATGCAAGCGGGAAAGGAACCATACAATCGTATCGTATTGGGGGATATTCTACACAGTGTTTTTTTGTATGTTTTACAGACTTTTTTTAAAGAAGCCATAAAAGCTACATTTACGCGGTCTGTGCACGTGAGTTGCATGGCCAGGGCGGCATAGTATAAAAGGCTAATTTGTAATGATCAGTCGGCTTATTACAGAGATGTGCCAGACTTCTTTCAGAAAACTGGATGGAGGTTCATTGTAGCGTAGTTTTATCCCGCAAGCCTAAATATCCCGTTCGTTTTCCACAAAGATATAACTAAACGTGAGAAAACACAAAAAAACCTCCTACCAATAGTGACATCGTAAGAAGACCTTTCGGCCGCCAAGCGTTTGTCGCTTAAGGGCCGCACGTCCAGTCGCAAGTTTTCTAGGTATATTATCCCGCATTCGCACCAGTCGTGACACATTTTACTGCCCTTTTAAAAAATGACATATGCGTGCATAGCTTCGATAGGCGCTGAAGATGCGTGAGCAAAGATTTCGAAAGCTGCTTTTGTGATGTCGCTCTCTAGGGAAGGGCTTTCACAGCACTTTAAAAATGACTCTATGCAGCCTCGATTCATCAAATTACCAAATAATTTTGATATTTGAGATTCTGGAGGTCAAATGAAGTTTTAAAAGTTTTTTGTCAAATACAAAACCGCTTCAGCCTCTCTTGAAGTACAATAATTTTTAATCAGTGAAAATAGACCCATGGTTCCAATTAGAAACTTGCTAACGGTCATCAAAACACACTAAATCGACTTTCTTTGTGAAGATATAAGACAAGAGAAGCATTTTATGGCATTCTAAAAAAATGGTCAATTTGGACGCGTTTCCAGACTTCGGTTTCTTACCAGAGCGCATCTTTGCACCTGCGGTCCTGCTGCCCGGTGGCCGCAGTGCGAAGCCACCCCCTCGCCTCCCTCGCAGGATGGAGGGAAGCAAGGCGCACGTGTGTTTCGCGTCTAAGCCCCTGGGGAACAGGACTGTGGGCGTAGAGATGAGCTCTGATAAGAAACTGAAACCTAGAAACTCGTCCAAATAAAGCGTTTTTACAGAATGCGTAAAATGCTACCCCTGCATTATATCCTTCTAGAAAGTTGATTTTGTGGTTTTCAATGACTCGGCAAGTTTCTAATTAAAACCATATTTTCATTTTCAATAATTAAAAAGTTATTTAACAAATTGTATTTAATTATCTGACTGATTGTTGCGATTTGGCCCCTATACTATGTACGCCTGGCCATATAACTCGCCTGCACAAACCGCATTAATTTAGCTTTCACGACCTTTCTAAACATATATGTAAAGCTTAAAACTAAATCGCCCTGTACAACAGTGACAAGGCGAAACCAGCATGTTGAAGCCATATGGCTCCACCATGCTGGTATTGCCTTTTCGCTGGTATAGGATGTCCCATATTACGTCATGCATGTATGGTTCCGTCTGCCTACATGGTTCCGCCATAATCCACTACGCAGGTATAGGATGTCCCATAATACGACACGCTTGTATGGTTCCGCCTACCTGTATCGTTCCGACGTAATCCACTATTCTGGAGCCGCGGTTTCGCTTGTATAGGATGTCCCATATTACGGTTATGCTTGTATGAGCCTTTTCCATCCACTTTCCATCATCGAAATTTTCCAACAGGGTATATATATATATATATATATATATATATATATATTAAATTAGCGTTCTATTAAAATTATTTATTATCTTTTCATCGGGCAACGCCTGGCGTGTTTACAGGATGTTTTTCTTTTTCTTTTAAATATATTCTGCTAGTGAAGTGCGGAATGATCGGATGCGCTTAAGGCATCCCAGCATATACTTCAGTTGAGTGAATGTATTTCAGTTGAGCGAAGGCTCGATTCTTAGATTCGTACGTGAGCTTTTCTTCGCATCCGTCAAAAGGCCGGTGAGCTTTTCTCCGCATCGGACAGTACGGTGAGCTTTTCTCCGGTGAGCTTATCACCGGTAAGTTTTTCTCCGCCGCCCGAAAAGACAGGCATTTATGTCTCTTTATTATACACTACTCGCATAATGGACAATTGTTTGGAGAACCAGAGTGTCCATGTTAACGAGAAATCGCTTAATCTGTCAGGTGGAAAAAGAAGAAGCCCCTTCTCTTACGAACTACATGGGGCAAGAGCGGTCACAACGGGCACACAACTGCAAACTTAACAATCATTTTTGCTTTCCCTTTTCACTGTCACTTTCTGCACATGCTTGAAAAAATAAGATTTATAATGTTCCTCATCGTGGCGAGACGCGGAATTTCAACACCTCATACTAATTATGGCCTTAACTCACTAAACTATGCTATTGAACAGGAAGCAAATAATGCGAATTCATATAGTCTTGCAGACAACCTAATTTTCAACCTGTCACCTCAGGGGTCACGTATAAATGGTGAAATCGTTTTTTTTTATTGAAAGTGTCTGTTTACACGTATATGAGAGCAATCATCTCTGCTGTGGTGCTTCTGTTTGTATTTTTAATTTCATTATGTTTTTACAATGTTGTTTTTCGTCAAAATGAGTTGGGCATCAGCAGCTGAGTTTTTACTCCAGACGTTTTCTATTTTTGTAAACCCCTTCAAAAAGGGAAATAAAGGGGCTTATCATAGTTATTACTATTATTATGAAATTTGCCTTTCTTGAAGCTCAAAGGACAAAGAGCAGGAAAGGGGCGCCTTACCGTGAAAGCACCCCTGACACAGAGGATGGCCACGATGAGCCCGATGGCGCAGATGACGGTGTAAGCGAGGACCCTGCCAAAAGAGGCTGCAGAGAATGCAACGAGCATGTCAGCACAACCTAAAAAGTAATTCTGATACGTGTTTGTTTATAAAATAGGAGTTAGCCAGCCCCAGTGGGTGCCTGGTGTCTTTGCTGTAGGTAATAAATTTAGCCAGTGCAGCACCACTGCTGTCCTGGGGTCTTTAACGCGCATCCCGCAGTAGTGATACGTGACTGTATGCCGGAATGATACTCGTCCAGATCAAAGCGGGCAAAGGTGGGGATTGAACGCAGGACCCCTGGGTTCTGCAATGCAAACTTTGACTCCGTTTGCCCTCAAGCTGCGTTGCGTTAACGAGCTCGTGCACCGGTGGCCCGGCACAACCCGCCTTGACGGGCAGGCCCGTAAAGATATTTATAGAAGCGCGATTCATAAGGAACCAACAATTAAGAAAACGCACCTGCGACGTAAATACTGACTTTTCTCTTTCGCACGAAAATCGCTGGCTCAAATTCCGGTGCTCAGGGCTTTGCTCACTGTGACTTTCTTAGTCATGTGTGAAGACGACACACAAATTGAAATATGCTAATATGCCATTTATATTACATCTGAAACGCTACAAAGGCCACACGATATCCAAGTGAATTCTAATAATTCTCAGCATATCTTACATTTGACTCGCCAAGTTTTTCTTACCAATCCACCATTTTTGAAGTCATGGTTCCAGAGGTTGTGGTATGAAAGCGCATGTTTGTGTTCCTCCATGGATTCACAAGCGACCAAGACAGGCTTTTAAGCGAGAGGCTCGTGCCACCGCTCGTGGTGTGGACGTTGGTAGGAAACGTGGCCACATTGGCCATCGTAAACCTACCAACGTCGTAATGTGTCCAGCGGGATCGAACAACTTTTAGTTTTTTTTTTCTTATTCGACTTCCCGGGGGACTTGCATCGGGCGAACACCATCATCGGTCGTCACCATCCTGACTGACCGGCCCCCTCTACCCTCCCTCGGAAAGTTGCAGTGAGCTTTCCGAGGGAGAGGGGGCCGGTCAGGATGGTGACGACCGATGATAATCTTCGCCCGATGCAAGTCCCCCGGGAAGTCGAATAAGAAAAAAAAAACAAAAAAACTAAAAGTTGTTCGATCCCGCTGGACACATTACGACGTTGGTAGGTTTACGATGGCCAGTGTGGCCACGTTTATTTCAAGACAAAACGACAACAAGTCAACAGTAATTTACATTACAAAACTCCCAAAATTAAAACTACTTTAGTCCCCCAGTCTCAAGAGCCGAATCTGCCTGATCTCAAAAGCCGAATCCCCGAGAATCCTCTCGGCAGCCCTTTTCTAGACTCGTAGGGGCCTCCTTACCCTCCAGGGATGAACCAATTACTTCAAATGTGCCCATTGTCACGTGGTACACTCTTACCCAATGATCAGCGAGCTGTCAACGTGCCCCACCTCCGACATTTCAACGGTCAAACCCCAATTCTTTGTAGAGTCACCACATGCTTTCTTTACCGTCTGGCTGGCGCCACCAAGTTAAGTTATTGCGTTGACTAAAAGCGAAGTTTCTACACTGAGCGGCGAAATACGCCGGACACAAGCACACCCGCTTAAAAGCCACAAGTGCGGACAGAAGCCCAAGACAGGGGTAATCCGGCGCCCCAAACTGAAATCCAATCCGTTTGTTAACGACCGGGGTCCGACTCTTCCCCACCGAGCCCCGCGGCTGCTCGAAGCCCCCCACGCATGAGAGAACAAGACGACTCCCCGTCCACGCTCTCACCCTCTGCCGCGGGTCTGCGAGCAAACGCCCAAAAATGTGGACACAAACATAGGCAGAGAAACAAACGATGCCGACGCAACTGTAGAAAGATAGACCTTTCTAAAACAAATCTTACTTATTTCTAACAACATCCTTCGTTACTTGACAATGCCAAACCCTGCCCGCGCCTCCCATTGACCAAAATCTCTACATATACGGCTCTGCACGCATTTGAAAGCTCTGTTGGCCGCGATTTTCCCGTTGGAAATTTTAGCAAATCGCCTATGACTTTTGAAAAATGATGACGGTTAGTTCTGAAACTTTGGGGCACCTGTTGGCTCGGACCGTCACAACTACATCTGAACGGAGAACGAGCGTTCCGCGACGTGTTATTTCACAACCACGCCTCGTCAGTCGCGCAGTGACAAGCAGGTCGTTCCTTTACATTGCAGACACATAAGGCTCCTGAAGCCGCTATCTAAACACATCGGTCGCTTCTGTAATTCTAAGCAATGGTCGTTTAGCTTCAAATAAGACGGCGCCAATGGTGCACACTTGGTGAATGTAAGCCGCTGTCACACTGCTCACGCATCGTACAAATGACACGGGCTCCAGACATGATGACAGAATTCCCTATGGACAGGACTTAGGCAGATTCGACGCACAGTTGCTTGATACGTGATTCAAACATGCCTGTATACAGTATGTGTAGGACCAGTGTGACGGGACCCTTATATACGAAGAAAGCCTCAGACTGTCTTTTGTCATATGTATAAGCAGCAGGACCGCTGCTTTAGAGGTAGACCTTAGCGGCAGCACGGAGAGCAACGACAACCGAGCTGTGTTCTCTATAAGTGATATTTTATTTGCAGAGTTTGCAGAGAAAGTCAAAATCGAGAAATTCACAAACCATACTGTAAACAGCTATTTCCGCGCGATTTAGTGCTTTTTTGCACCGAAGCGCAGATCAGAAATGAATTTATTTACAAAGTTCGCAGAGAAAAGTAAAAAAAGCGCTAAATTTACGGAGCAAGTTGTAAATGGAAACCTCCGCGCGATTTAGTGCTTTTTTGCACCGAAGCGCAGATGAGAAATAAGATAAGTTAGGATTTTAAAGAGCCCGTGCAGAAGCCAAAGTCGGCGTCCCTGATCTTCATCTCCACCTTGTGGTAGGTGTAATAGTAGGATTCAATGTTGCCTTTTATGTGCCAGGTAATACTGAAGGCCCTTATTGACGAATTTGAGGTGGAATGGTATCCATTAAGATTTGCCTCGTTGCATCTCTTGAACCACCAGCCTCCACTTAGTCTTATGGAGCAGCTGTCTCCGTCGCGAACCTCCTTCCAGCTCTTGGTGGTGAACTTGGCATGGTTGTGGTAGGACAAGGCGTCGTAACCTGTGCATGCCAAAAACCAGAGTAGATCAACGACTGTGCTGACGGTTCTTGCACGGTACTATGCTCGCACGCCGCAAATTGAAAAGACTGAACTTTGTTAACGGCCAACATCTAGAAATATTTTACTGCGCCAGTGGATGCAAAATGTTTTTCTCCACTTCCAAACTGATTTGCCTCAAAAGTGGTTCAACAGATTACTCGACACAGCCGATCGTAACCTAAATTACAAGACATAATACAGAAGTGCTGTAAGTTAGGCGAGTTGGTATGATGACATGGTGAACGTAACAGCGCACAAAAAGTCGAGGACAGAGAAAAGGGACATGCACAACAGACAAGCGCTGACTCGCAACTGAATTTATACACAAAAGGAAGGAGAAGAGAACATTCTAAAAAGATACGCAGGGCAAGCAGTGCGTGTCACACGCGACACAACACCATTTGACTACAATGTCTTTGCCCCATAGTCCGATTAAAAACAAGGTGTCAGTTTGAAGCAGTGCCACTGATGGGTGGCTAACGCGGCAGTCCCCCAGGGTGTTGATCCAATGCGCTTCCAAGATTTCGCGAGTCGTCTTGTCTCAATAATGTCCAATTATTGTTCTGCCTTTAAGAATTGGAGTACACGAGGAGGAATCGCAATGAACGGGAAGATGACCGCCCACCGTGGATTTTAGTGAACGATCAGGCTCGAGAAGGCGATCATTTAGGCACCGTCCAATTTGGCCCACATAGCTTCTACCACACGTTAGTGGGATTTCGTACACCACGCCAATTGAACACGGCACATAAGGGTGGCTGTGGCGTTTCTGGCACGTGTCTTTGATCCGCTATCGAGCGAATTTTTGAACAAATTTTCGCCATTCCTTTGAACACCACAGGCACATCCTACCTTTCGGCTGCTCTTTTTAAATTATGCGAGGTTTTGTGCATATATGGTACAACTACCTTTCGTTTCGGTTGATCTCTAGGTTTTTTCGCTCTTTTGTCTTACGTACCAAGGACCCCACCACCTCGTTTAAATCCTGTGATGAAAAGCCCGACTTTTGGACTCTCTCAACTTGGCCGTTAAAACTTCCATGAACAGTGTGAAAGCAGGGCTTCCTTTTTTTTTTCTTGCAAGTGTTGATAGAGCTATTGATGGTGTCCTCGGCTGACCACAGGTGTCTAAAGTGTTTCGATATGTTGACGATTTTTCGTTAGTGTATCCCGAGTCCGTTGAAGGTGATTACGTTGATAAGGTTATGAGCGTATTTTCCAGGTGTGGCTTTGGTCTTAAGTTCACTGTTGAAAAACCATCGGACGGAAAGTTACAATTCCCGGACCTTTCGTTATCTCTTCATACGAACCATATCTGCTGAAGTTTCTCACCTAGGTCAAAAAAGGGGATCCTTCATTACACATCAGCAGATTCGAAATTTTTGAAAAGGGAGATCGCGATTACCATACTTGGGGCCGCGCTCACGAAGTCCTGCTTTCACACTGTTCGTGAAAGTTTTAACGCTTAAGTTAAGAGACTCCAAGAGTCGGGCTTTTCATCACAGGTTTTAAACGAGGTGGTGGTTGCCTTGGTACGTAAGACTAAAACTTTTCAGCGAAAAAAACCTAGAGATCAACAGAAACGAAAGGTAGCTGTACCATATATGCACAAAACTCCGCATAATTTAAAAAGAGCAGTCGAAAAATACGATGTGCTTGTGGTGTTTTCAGCTCCCAAAAGAATGGCGCAAATCTGTTCAAAGGTTCGCTCGATATAGGAAACCCTTAACAAAGACAAGTGCCAGAAACACCACAGCCACCCTTATGTGCCGTGTTCAACTGGCGTGGTGTACAAAATCCCACTAGCGTGTGGTAGAAGCTATGTGGGCCAAACCGGACGATGGCTAAATGATAGCTTTCTG